ATTCAAAGGCTTTTATTCTCACAAACTGCGCGGACGTAAATGCGTCTGACTGTTGTGATTGGCTAAAGCAGACGTCTCACGTCAGCACATTCTAGACGTGCACGCGCTTATTATGGGAATCTTCCTTCTGCATTCACACAGCGCAGCATTCCGGCAAATTGCCGGTAATGTTACAACTTCTCTTTCCGGAAAATAGCCAGAACGAATTTACCGGTATTTTCAAAAAGGACCTGTTCACACATACAACCTTTCCGTAAAATTGCCGGCAATTTTCCGGAAAGGTCTGTATGTGTAAAAGGGGCTAATGTGTGGCAAGGTGAGAGCCCCTATGCTGGATTCAGTGACTGGCGCACCTCTCCCTCGTGCTGCTGTGAAGGCTGTCAGATCAGTGTGTGTGCGCGTTGACAGCCATCACATGTGCTTGTTATAATCAATATAAATATTTCGATCAACTGAATACAATCTTACATCAACAACACATGGCAAGCAACGTGTTGATATTAACAAATAATCATATTAGATTACAAACACCCCAACAAGTTGTTTAGCATGTGTGCATCGCTGCTTTTATGTTTACACATGTAATATTTTTTTCCTGAGGCGATTTAAAGCAAGATATTCAATGGCACTCAATCAAAAATTTCTACAATGATAAGGAACATGGTTACTTACTGAGTTATTAACGCACAGCAACACCACATGAAGAAAGGACAGACTTTGAAGGAATAAACAATGTGAGGAGAGATCCATTATTGTGCACTGGACAAGTCTGAACAAGTTCCACCCACGCATGCGCGAGGCAGGCAGTTCTGTACAATTACGTAATTTATCCGCTTTAAGATATAGGCGTAATTTAGACATAAAAATAGCATTTATTGGCCGATAACGATATGCCCGCCGATATATCATGCATCCCTAGTTTTTCAGATAAACAAGAATGTTCACTTAGCATGTTTCTTAAATATCTGCAAATCTATTATGGTATTTTGTGCTTTAGAAGAGTCAAAAACCTACAAATAGCACTTTTAAGGTACCACTGTGCCCCATGAAAGCAATACAGACTGTTAAACATACATGTAAGTACTTGTTACACAGAACAACCTCAAACGAACTGCAAATTTGGGACACAAATATCCTGGGGTTATTTCATTACTGAAGAAAAACTCTTTACTTTTTGTAGTTATATGAAAACCAAAATGAGACATCTCCTCTTTAACCCATATCATTATAATCTCCATCAGCTCCTTTGTTAAAGTATAGTCAAGTAAACCCAGCCATAGTCATACATGCAGTGACACTTGCGGGCCTCACTTCCTCAGTCTCTCCAGCTTTATATGTTAAACCTAACTAGTGTGTCTACATCTTACTTCCTCTTTCACATTTTTTTTATCCCTCTCTTACACACTAAAGCAAACACATCTTATTTAATCTTTTAACTTTGAACTCTTTGTCTAGTTCGCCACAGAAATGTCCAGTATGCGAGGCGCTTAGTTGTGCAGCTTCAGCTTTGTTGTCAAATATAGTAAACCAGCTCTGCGACTGCTTTTAAAGAGGTGTTGTTAACCTTCTTAAACCATAAGTCAGTTAAGGGCAATTGCATCTGCTGTCAGTCATGTTGTTTAGACCTTCACACACCCTCCATTGATGAGGATTATAGTAATGATGATTTTACACAATGTACTCTCACCTTGTTCAGATTGTTCAGATAAAACGAACAAGTAAAAGTGTGTTTCAGTCTTTAGTGTTTTGTGTTTTTGGATATCTGGGTTATTTTATTCCCCCTTATGTACAGACTATAGTTTAGGTGAAATGTTGCTGACAAAAGTCGGTGATGGAGTATATAAACCTTTATGGCTCAGGGTAGGGGTTAAAGTAGGGTTCAATTTTCAGTTAAAAACAACTTTTGAGGAACTTGCATTTCTCATGTGGTCTCTGACTTTGAATGTAGTGTGACAGTCATAAGATCTATGGTTTCAGTGTGTTCCTGTTATGCTATGTGAAACTATTTGGATTCTTTATTATTATAAATCAAAATTGTTGGGTATTCTTAGGTCTGTCAAGATGAAGAATTTTTGTTGTGCGGTATATTTTCACAGAATTTGTTTTGATAAGTAATATTATTGTCATTTTGAGATTATTTTATGCCACTGATTATACAGGGTGGGCCATTTATATGGATACACCTTAATAAAATAGGAATGGTTGGTGATATTAACGTCCTGTTTGTGGCACATTATTATATGTGAGGGGGCTTGTAAATAACTCATGAAAGAATAAAGTTACGTTGAAACCACACACACACCATTGTTTTTCTTGTGAAATTCCCAATAAGTTTATTAAGGTGTATCTATGTAAATGGCCCACCCTGTATAACAGCATGATAATGCAAATAGCCATAAATGCTTTAAAATACTTCTCATTCTTAAGGTTATTTCGATATTGTAATGTGATGTTAAAAAATTTTAAATGTTCTATTACAATGGTTCTTAAACCTTTTTCACCAAGTACCACCTTAGAAAAAATTAGTCTCTCCAAGTACCACCATAATGACCAGTAATGAAATAAAGCAGTGAATCTGGCCAAATTAAGCAGCTACAGCACTGCACAGTTCAAAAACAAGTCATATTCATATTTATACAATTTTTGATAGATTTTGAAATATATGTTGCCTGTACATATCACGTATTTGTAAAACTTTTTGAAATCTAAACAATAACTTGTATGTAGATTGCTAGGGAACCCGTTTTTCTCAGAGGATGTCAAGCTGACAGAACATTGCTGCACTCTGATACGAGTTTTATTTATGGAGAAAATTAAGAAGCACTGCAGTGTTTGGGTGTTCTGTGTTTAAGATAATTAGTCTAACGAAGTTATATTCTAAATAAAATATGAAGCTGATCAGTTGATTCTTGTCACATGACATGTAATACAGGGCTCATGACATTTGTCATTAAAAATAACCCCATAGGTAGTTGAAAGATCTGTGTAAAAGGCCTGCCGCCACAGCTGGAAAAATCCTAGAGGAAACACTGACCCCAGTGACAGATTTTGTACCTTTATTTCTGAGAGTGTGTTATTTAGCATTTCATAAGGTTACATCTTCTCTGATATTTGCTTTTTTTTCTGTTGATTTTTAGACAGACCAAACATTGGTATGTGTAAGTACTTGAGCGCAGTATCTGTATTAGTACATCATTAATATCCAGACACATTCTTTCTTGATTTGGATCAGTCTGATTTCAATTTTAGGAAGTTTTTTTAGGTTTAAAAGTTGTATGGATTCCATTAAATGTTTTTGCCATGCTGTATATTAGCCATAAACTATATTTTCTTAAGCTAGTTAAAGTCTGGCCTGTTATAGACCGAGTCATTATTATCTGTGTTCCGTATGTCTGTGTGTGTGTGTGTGTATGTGTGTGTGTGTCTGTGTGTCTATGTGTCTGGATGCCTGCAGGCGAATCGGTTTGAGCTGCTCTTCTTTCACTCATCTGTTCCCTTGGGCTGGTTGTGCCCATATCGTCACACATTTCTTTCTCCACTGGCTGTCACCAGTTCTAGTAATGACTTAATCTACCTGGAGATCTGAACCTAGTACTACTAGAGGGCATGATTTAGATGGTATATGCTTTGATTGGTTCCTCAAGTGTCTGTCTACTGAGGGAAAAACAAAAGCTTTCATTAGAGGTTACAGGTCAAGTGTTTAGCTGCTCAGAGGCTGACACTTGTTAAAGAGTTAATCTTTAAAGGGACAGTTCACTTAAGGGAGTGTAAATAGTGAGCGAACCTTCTTTTTTTGGGTGGTTTAAAAGCTTTTTTGAGTTTCTTTTTTTACTGAATAACATTCATTTATTCATTTTCTTTCAGCTTATTCTCTATTTCAGAGGTCGCCACAGTTGGGTGAACCACTAACTATTCCAGCATATGTTTTTTTGTAGTGGATGCTCTTCCAGCAACAACACAGTATTGGGAAACACTTTACTATAGAGTGGTTGTTTAAATTACTATAGATTTTCCATGCTGATAACATCTCTTTTAGAAATATACACGAGAAAACATAAAAGCGTGGATGTATAGTCTACATTATTAATATTATTATTATTATTTTTATTATTATTATTATTATCATTATTATAAATTTTTTAGTGGATGTTAAAAGTGCTTCTCAGTAAGAATCATCTAGTTTTGCTCACAAGTTTTGCATTTCTTCTTTGTTCGGTCTATGAACTTACCATCAAACATTCAACACTGCTGCACATCCCGACGTTAACATTGCGGTTGTTTATTCCGCCAAAATGCCAGTAAAGACTTGGATTATTGCAAAACAATTCAG